ATATAAATTGACTCCAGTGGATCATATGGATATATTGAACAAGGCATTTATTATTAATTTCAATAAGCTGTATTAGCTTAATAGGCTCTCATTTTTTTATGTTGCTAATTCTGCCTGTAAACCAGGAAGATATTAGCATGACAATATTTTTCCACTTCTGTCAGAAAACTGCCAGAATAAATCAAAACCCCGACCTGCCTCCAACATCAGTCTCTTGGCTAGCGGGCTCAACTGCTTTAACGCACTAATGGTGGCCAAAAAAGAAAAGCCCACAGGGAGGTGATGCACTCGGCCACTTCAGCTAGCCCAAAGGTGCCTCCAGCCTCCTCGTCATGTGCAAACGACAGGACACAACTTCAGCACGGCATTACAGGTGTCCGAGGAGCTAAGCAGCTAGCAGGAATTCAAGGTGACATTAGCAAAACAGTGAGAGCAACACTGGCTGAGGTGTTGGTTAGCTGCTAGCAAACAGTCGCTAGCTGGTGCTGCATTCAGGTAATGTCGGCAGAATGGGAACGAAGAAGAAAAGCGCCTCTTATTGTGGCTTTAAAATGTGGCTAGCCCCGATGCTAATCTGCTAATCACACCTGATAGAGCTCGTTGTGTGGCAGCTGGTTGACAACACAAAACAACGGATAGCTTCCGTTAAAATGGCAGGATTAAGTTTAAACAGGGTTTTAATTGGGGTAATTATCAGCAGTCGTGGATTTTAATCTGTTTGTTGACATGTTTGTAGTTTTTCCACCAAGTGTTGCTGTTAGAAACTCAGACGGTTGGTATTAGAAGTAAGGATTTTTTTCCCCCACTTGGCGGTTCGTAATTAAACGGCACGGCATGAACGCGTCGTGACACCAAACACCGGGGAGAATCGGTGTGTTAGCTAACGGGTACCTGCGGGGGGGTTTACGGTAACTGGCTCAACCGGGAGTGGAAGCAGCCCGAGGAGGATATCACCTACCTGACATCTGCACACCATGTCGGCGTCCTGTGCCAGCAGATCCACAACTTTCCCCTTCCCCTCGTCGCCCCACTGGGCTCCCAGCACCACGGTCACTTTGTTGCCGACGGCCGGTCTCGGCGCCCGCGTCGTCGGGCTGTCGCTGCCGTTCGGGGCCCCGGCGGCTTCCTGACTCCCGCTTTCCGACATTTCAGCTGGGTCCCTGGCTGAGAGCACTCCGCTGCGCTGCCTGCTGCACCAAAGATAGCCGAGAGGACTGGAGGAGCCCACTCCACTCCACGGCAACGTTAGACGCCAGGAAGGAACACACCTCGCACATGCGTACAAGCGTCCGCAATCACAGTTAACATGCTTCACGTTAGTTAATGACAGAGCGGCTGCAGCTTCACACTAAAGTCAGACGGCAGTTTTAACTAGAATGAAACAAAAAGCTCGTCTTCAACACGTTTCATGTTTAATTTTTAGACATAGTTTAATGAAATCCGACTACAAACGAATCCATCCGGCTTCTAAAGGCGACACGCCCACTATCGAAGATGCGTTCAAGTGCAGGAAGGTGTGGAAATAGTGGGAATAGTATTGAGAAGTAGTCAGTTGCGAGCATTTATGATTTTAATGAAGTAAAATCTCCATAAAGTAATAGCATTTTTTTAAAAATAAAGTATCAGAAATAAAATGACTCGTTCAGCAAAACGGCCCCATTCAAAGTGTTGGTTAATAGATATTTAATTTACATTGATTAATTAAATTAATCTGGTAACTTTACCTAAAAAAACAAATAGTTTTGCAGGGTTTTCACCTTATCTTTAAACTTGTATAAGTATTCATAGAAAAATAAATGTATGTTAATGTGTTAAAGGCATTTTATTGATGTCAAGCTACATTCTGTTGGGTAATTTAATCTTAAATGTGTTTTATTTTATAAATGTGTCATCCTGTATGGTTTAATTCCTAACTCCCATCTCCTCATACATACTGAGGAAACAAATATAAATATACAAGAACAGTGCAAAAATGGGGACAGAAGTACAGAAAAACAGTGTATGAAACAAAGCATTTGCAATATTTATGATGCAGAAAAGTGAACATCTGCTTGTATGTACTGACAAGTAAACAGACAATCTTGTCATTTTAGAATATAATATTAGATTAATAATACTTATTGGAGGAGGTGATGAATGTGGGACATTATGTACTGTTCAGGAGATTCACTTATAATGATACAGGTCATTATGTTTCTATATTTATAATCTGACTCTGCAAAGTAACCAAAGCTGTCAAACGAGGTGGAATAAAAGAAAAAGGGTGGCACCAAATGGAAATACTCAAGTAAAGTACAGGTAGCTGCACTTAAGTAGAATCCTTGATTAGATGCATTGAGGAGGCCTCATTTCTGTGCATCAGACTTCCTTGTACAGATTTATATCATCACTCACAGCTGAGGTGCTGCTTTCAGTCGGATTTAACAGGACAGCAGAGTTTAGAGGAAGGAGCAGATTGGAGGTGAATGAAGAGATTTTTCAAGAGCGGTTTAACTTCGTTTGATTCATTTATCATTTAACAGAAAGGATGCGAGACTCTCTAATATTCATAGTCTGAGTATGTTAGCGGTTTAATTATTTATTCTTCACTTGGATCCACATTAACTTCCACAAAACGGGTCCATCTTCCTGAAGTCCAACAAAAACAAACAATTTAAAACTACACTGATCAATAAACAAGAAAAATGAAAGAAGTGGCAATAAGTGGGAAAAACTTTCAGACAATAGTTTTTTGGGGGGGGTTAAGTTGAATAAACCACAATAGGTTGTTTGTTATTGTCCTTACAGTAAAACTTTGAGTGAAGCTGGTTAACGTTAACTCCATCAAACAGTTGCATCCTGCTGGATAAAAATATGAATCACTCATCCCTCCACTCAGTTTCTTCTGAATGAGCAGCAAACTTTTCCTTGACCTGTTGTATTTTGGATTATTTGTCTCCCTCTGGTGGTTTTCAGAAACACATACAGGTTCTGTATCGATGACATGATGGAATATTGTGTCCTTAAATCGCCACATGGCTTCACAGAAAACAAAGCAACAGAAAATATATGGAATCCACTCATTTTCCAAAACTCCGTTGAAACAACGGCTACACAAGGCTACACAAAATGCTGTCAACACATTTGAAAATAAAGGCTCAAAATCTTTACATTTTCTTGTTTTTGTGTTATTTTTGCAGACTTCTCGTCCTTATTTTTTACCTGCTGCAGATGGAAGTCAGCGGTGCCAGGTACAGACTACATCACGACTGTCCTTTCATCTCCTTTGAGCTCAGCGTGGGACAGATGGTCAAGTGGGTGGACGAGAGGCAGCAGTGGGAGCAGTGGGAGCAGTGGGAGCAGGTCACGACTCAGGCTCAGAGGGCCTTTCATTAACAAACTGACGTCATGCAGGTTGTTCCACAGCAATCTTATTTTATGAAAATGAGTCCAAACTGACTCGAGGTGTGCTTTAAGGTGAAGGTCGTATATGTTTCCCACCAAATCATAACATTACAACAGAAACACTGACTTCATGTGAGTAGTTTTTACAAGGGAGATGTGTCTGTCTGAATACATTCTTCTTTAAACATTCTGAACCAGCCAGCTGGTAAAGCACTGAACTCCTTCAAACTGATGCCTCAGAACTCGTGTTTCATCTGTTATTTTCTGTGGATTTCATGTTTGCATTTGCATGACTGCTTAATTTGTTCCTTCCATCCCTTATAAATCCCTTTATAAGCCCTGGTGTTATTAGTTTGTTTGTCAGGCTGCTGGAAACAGGGCACGTCGCATCATTTTCTACTCGTAAACTTGTGTAATTTGATCTTTGTCCCAGATTTCTCAGATTCATTTTGGCTGCCCTGATAGAAAAACACAAATGCCTGCAGAAGTTCAAAGTTGTGAAATAACCCCTTGTTTGTGCAGAGTTTTTTTTTCATTATTAATAGATAAATAAGGACAAACTGTAACTGCGTACTCATAGATTACAGATTACAGATAAATGTTCTGCTCACCAACAAAAGAAGAAATTTTGTGCATCATCACTGATTTTCGTAGACATGATTGTTTTCAGAGAGGATTAATATTCTTTTGGGTCTACTGGGTCTAACGTGATTAGAACATAATCCTAATTGGCTGACTTCAAAATCGGTGGAGTGTCCCTTAAATTAGGACATTAGTTACATTCATCAGTGCAGGCAAAGCTGCTCAAATGCTCAAGATTTTAATTAAAGAAAATAAATCTCTGCATCTACATCTACAGTTAATTTATTATTTCCATTTATTTTTCATGTTGCAAGCAGGACCTTGGTTTCTCAGACACGTGTGCATAAATAGTTGGACATTTTGTGTAGTTTACTGTAATTTTTTGTTGTTGTATTGATTTAATTAAAAAAAAAATCTCTATTATACTAGACAGAAGCATTGTTTGACCTTGACATATGTGGGGGCTTAGTCCAGACCAGCAGTCTTTGGATTTCACCCATATATTAAAATGGGTGTCCAATCCTGGTCCTCAAGGGCCACAATCCTGCAAGTTTTAGATGTTTCCGTCTTCCAACACACCCGATTCAAACGATCAGCTCATCATCAACCTCTGCAGAAGCCTGATAACGATCATGATCATTTGAATCAGGTGTCTTTGAAGAGGGAAACAGCTAAAACATGCAGGACTGTGGCCCGCAAGGACCAGGATTGGACACCCCTGGACTGTAACTACTGCACCGCCGCATCAGGACTCAACATTAACATTTGTGGAAAAACTGGAAGTAAAAAGAGTACAGCAGTTTTATTTGCTTGTGTGTAACAAATAAACTAATTATGTGGCTAAACAGAAAAACAAATAAGGTCAAATAAAAGCTAAGATCACATGAACGGTCCAGGTCAGTCAGGTGAGGCGCAGTGCCGCTGGTGTCCTGAGGGGGGCAGCACCAGTCTGACGTGTCGCTGCCTTCAACTCTCTTCCGCTCGCTGCTTTGTTTACTGCTACTTCCGTAGCATGTGAGCTAACAGCAGAGAAGCAGCTCTGTCGGTCCTACTGCTCCTCCTGTCGGGGTCATTCACATCCCAAACACTTTTTTTTTTCTAAAAAAATGTCTCCTCCGCTGCTCCTCAGGGCCTTCGTGAACGAGCGGCTGACAGCTGCTGCAGAGGAAATATTTCAGGTTTTTGAAAAAACTATCGAAAAATATGAGGAAGAAGCTTCAAGCTCGAAGCAGGAGATCGAGCGGCTCAGAGGGCTGCTGCTGGACTTCATGTCAAACCAGAAGACAGGTCTGTTGACTCAAAACTGACAGGAATAGGAAGTCAACTTTATGTTTATTTAATTTTTGTATGACTGTGGCCCTCATTTAACTTTATTTAACCAACTAGCACCCAGGTTTCTTTCTTAAATAACTAACAAACAGTAAGAAACTAAAACAGTGTCAACTTAATTTGAGAAATGAGATCAAACGAACCCACTGTGTGATTTAAACTGCATTTTTATACGCTAATGGCTGTCTACTGTCTAAATGATCAAATAATTCAGATTGGATAATTATTTCTGGATTTGTATTTATCAGAATCATGCAAATATTCAAGAAACTGTTTATAACACACTGTAGAAATAAAGACTGAAGTAGTATGAATTGTTTACTGATGTACAATATCTGTAAATTGATTGGAAACTCTTTTTAAAATCAAATAATTACCAGTAACCTTTTAAAGCTTTTCTTTGTCATACATGATGCTGTATTTTTGTGTTTTTCAACAGTTTGTCAAACAAAATCAGACATTTAAAGATGTTGTGATATTGGTAATATTGCTCATTTCTCCCCAGCAGCTTCGATAACTTAATCATTTGTGGCAATAAAGAATGTAAAAGATGCCTTTACTCTTGTTTCCAGATGTCTGTAAAGATGAGACTTCCCCTGAGCTGAGCCTCCATCAGGATCCGGACCGACACATTAAAGAGGAAGATCATGAACTGTGGGCCGATCAGCAACAAGAAGAAGAGCAACAGGTGGGAGAGTTCAGTAACGCTGATGTCTTATATCCACCTCATTCTTCTGTCTGGGAGGAAAACGAGCAGGAGGACACAAAACCAACTCTGCAACCTCAGATGCAAACCTCTGAACACGAGGAGGAGTTTCAGGAGGTGCAGGAATCTAAAGCGGTGCACTTTACATCACCTCTGGGCTCAACCACGTCTCCGCAAACTCTCATCCCAAATGAAAGTGTCCAAGATGGAAGGGAAAGTGACAGACCTGCTACAAGTTTTACCTTAAACCAAACACAGACGAGTCAGACTTCTTTTAGCGCTTCTGCTGAGTTATCTCATTTGAACTCAGTTGCACCAGACTATCATTGCTATTTGTGCGAAAAATCTTTCTCCTCCAGTCATCACTTGATAAATCATGCTTTCCGCGTGCATTCAAAGGACGAAGGCGTCCTGTGTGCCGTGTGTGGAAAGACCTCAGAGTCCACCGAGAGTCTAAATGTGCACCTTCAATCACACAAGAGCTCCAGATGTTGTCACATGTGCGGGAAACACTGCAACAGCACGACCGCTCTGACGGAACACATGGCCAGCCACGCCGGGGTGAAACTGCATCGCTGCCACGTGTGCGGGAAAGAGTGCAGCCGGAAAGGAGATTTAAAGATACACATGAGGATTCACACGGGCGAGAAGCCTTTCTGCTGCTCGTTCTGTTGCAAAAGTTTCACCCACAGCGGACATCTGAGGAAGCACATGAGGAGCCACACAGGAGAGAGACCGCACAGGTGTGACGTCTGCGGCAGAGGATTCCTACAAAGCGCGCACCTGAAATACCACCTAGGGACTCACACTCAGAAATACTAACCGTCCCGTCCACCAGAACATACAACAACAAAAATGTCCTAAAGAGAGACCTAAGGGGGAAATGTTCTTCACTGAGTGTGAGCAGTAAGATACGTTTATTATTTAACTTATAGCAAAGTGTAAAAGTAAAATGTAAGAGCTGCTGTCACATTTACACACTTTATGTTCTGAGCTGAGGCCACCAATCAGAGACAACAGTTTACCCTACACCTGCCATGTTTGAAAGATGTTTGCATTTGTTTTGGGTTTTTTTTAAGATTATTTTTCAGGTTATTTTGCCTTTTATTGGCTAGGATAGTGGAGACGTGGGGAGAAGAGTGGGGGGAGGACATGCAGCAAATGAGCCACTGGTTGGACTCGATGGACTCCACAGCCCCTCTACACAGGTCGCCGTCTTATCCGGTTGAGCTACCAGGGCACCCGGTCGTTTGTATTTTTTAAAAGAAAAAGAAAATGTTTAGGATCAGAAAGTTATTTGCAACTGATTTTCCTAAAAATACACAAAATAATCAATACATCTTCATTACAAACAATGATGATGTATGACAAGTGCTAAATGAAACAAATACCAGCTTTATTTTTCAAAGCTGCAGCCTTTTTAAGCTTTTTTATTTGATTAATTTTAACGACTGTTTTTAAGCATTAAGACATTTGATAAGTAGCTCTTGGTACTAAGTCTGCAGTTGGAAGTGTTTCTACTTGTGTCATCTTTTTACGCCCAAAATTTCATTTTTAGCAGTTTCGAGCTTTACTGAATGTTCATCATTGACATGATTTGTGTTCTGGACGCTGTTCGGAGCAATAACACTGCTGTTACATCAAGAAAATCAACTGTGTCTTTGTCATTATTGCTAACAGAATCTGAGTGGTGATAAATGTGTGTGTGGTACAGTAGTGTAAGAACAAACTGGAGCATGATGCACTTTACAACCACGACTTCAAATCAGTGGATGTGCCGTCTGCTACAGCAGCATCATACAAACTTTGTGGAGCTTCACGTTGTGCGCTGATGTTGTTCTACATCTAAGGGGGGAAGTACATCTTTTTCAGGTTCCCATAATAGGTTTATTGATTTACAGTGGACTTCAGCTTCAGCATGGACAACAGCCAACATAACAAACAGATCTGTCTAAAGAAAACAAACAAACCTAGCCAAAATTGACAACCCAAAAATAGAATACCTTGACCTTCCTATGCCAAACAAACAAGAGAAAACAAGGTCAAAAAACCGAACTGTATGGCAAAAGCTGCTGAACAGACTAGATGTGAGTATGGCTGGTTGTGTAGACTGTCGGCTGTTAAGGAGCCAATCATCTGCAGGCGGGCAGCTGATCCACCAATCACCACCTCGTACCTGCACACTTTTGATTAGCAGACCAATCCACATTCAGGTCTACCACACATCATCCAGACATTTCATAGTGACGGAGAGCAGAGACCAGTTACACAACAAAATATGTCGGACAGTTATGACACCTGACCTGCTCTGTTTTATTCCAGTTATTTTGTTTGTGTAACAGTTCTGTAACTTGCTAATAGTTTCTTTGGAAGTTGATTGTAAAAAAAAATATGTACCAAGGTGCAGATTTTTCCTTGCAAGAAGTAGCTCCAAGCACATCCTAATTCATGCTCATTTATTGTCAGAAATTCTAGTTTTCATATATAGTAAATTGTACACTTGACTCTAGATTATACACATTAATTAGAATTATTGGGTCACAAGATGCATTCTATTTATATATTTAAAGATTTTTTTTTTTTCCCCTGAGGAATTCCACATTAAACTAAATAAAACAACAACAACAACAACAACAACAAAAACTACTTTTGTCCAACAATGACAGTTTCTTTAGCCACTAGATAGTTTTAATACTTCACAAGTTAGTTGCTAAGTTTGTGTACCTGCTGTTTGGTATGGGGCAGGTGGTGCAGCAGGTCTGTCAAAGCTTTTGTGCTGAAAAAAGTTGATTAAAATGATGAAACAAACATTAAATTCCTAGGTGTTAAAACAAAACAGTTAGCTCAAAGAGATGAGAAAGCACAAGAAAGCTGCAGATTTAGGCAGTTTCTCATCATACATTTGGCTGATTGTAACATCTATCCATCCATTATCTATACACCACTTAATCCTCACTAGGGTCGCGGGAGGCTGCAGTCTATCCCGGCTGACATAGGACAAAGACTGAAATGTACTTTGAGTTTCATTCACATGTATTTAGAGCAGTTTGTCTCAGACTGGATCACCCACGATGCATTTTGATGCTGATTAAAGCCTTGCAGTGGGGCATGGACCTCTGGGCCGAGGCAATCTGAACGAGAGCAGTTACAGCTGGTCTCAGGAGGGAGGATGTTCCTCTACAAGCACGTCATCTGCCATCACTGAAAACAACGCTGCTGTGTTTCCTGATGGTTGATTCTCCATAGAAAATCTTATTGTAGTTTTTTTTTTTTTTTTTTTTTATGTGCTAGCCTGATTTTTTTTTAAGTTATCAACTACGAATTTAGAGGAAAAGCATAATGTAGTGCCTACAAAAATAGTGTTTTTATGCTGAAATTTGATCCCAAAATGTCAGAAGCTGACAAAATCATCTCGGTTAAGACACAAAATGTTTGTTTTTCAGACTCTCAAATTTCCAGCTGTCCTGTTTTTAACATAGAAAAGAAAAGTGAAACGATATTCAACCATATTTTACAAGACAATTGTTGAACCTATATGAACACCCATCTGCTTAGAGTTATATAACAGTGTGTTATAAACCAAATATGAAATATTTATGCTTGTTATGAACGCTTTATACTTTATAATGTTCTGGGAGGAATATAGTTTGCCAGTAGGTGGCGCTGCAGGAGCCTTTATTTGTCTCTGCAGCAGGTCAGTCAGAGTCCACATTAACTACAGCTTTTTATTTGAGGCTGAATTATTATTCTGAAGGTAGATTTAAATCTTTTTTTTGCCTTTTGAGTGGGTTTTTAGTCACACAGCGAACACAAAGTCCTGCTGAGTGACTGATAAAGTCCATAATGATGGTGGTATTTAGCACAATCTGAGCAGAACCAAGTAAAAGAAAATCTAATCTGATCATGGAAAGGTTTTACTCACACACTCTTTGGGTTTTGTCCAGAGCCATTTTCTCCCCAAGCAGCTGCTCCAGCGTTGTTCAAAGGTTTTATTTCGGCTGCTAACGACGTCTCACTTTCATAGAGCATTAATTGCAAATCTACATCCATCCACCCGCGACTTTCGGCTCCAATCAAAGCACCATAAAGGCCTTAAAAGACGCCCTACTTGGATCTCTCCCAGGTAGCTTTAAGACATTTTCACACAGAACAGGAGCTCATTCAGGAATCTCTGCGTTTGGGAAGCTGCTTCAGGCGATTCAGATTTTAGATTATAAAGCTAAAGAGCTAATCGGGCCGCAGTGACCCTGGAGCCTAAAACTAACTGCCCTAAGCTGGTTACGCAACCACCCCTAAAGACACAGGATCACCAGCAGACACCCCTGGATCCTTGGGAACCGTTTCCCACATGGCCGCTCATGTCTAGTGGGGATTCAAAGACTCAAATCTAATCAAATGATTTGTTTAAAAAAAGAAAAAAAAAACCTGAGCTGCTCTGATGGTTCTGTATGTACTTGCAGCAGAATTTGACCCAGACTGTGGCTATTTGGGAAAAAACAAACTGTCCCATACCTTTCTGGGTGGAAGAAAAAAGCAGGTCAAGAGGTTAATCTTCTGTGATTTAAATTATGTGAAACTTACTCAAGGGAACCGGAGGGATTTTCTTTATGTGGGTCAGTCAGTTTAACACAACAGAGGAGGGGTTACGTTGGCAGCTTTTCTGTATGTGTGTGAAAAGTGACATTTTGCTCCCACCAAGAATTCAGCTGGAACTCGGCCGTCCTCAGGAATTCCACAAGCCCTCGGTTACGTAAGTGGGTCAGTGAGTTATTCGCCGACCCGCCCGGAGGAGGACGGAGCCGGGGCCAGAGCGTCCGAGGGGATGAGTGAGATGGGCTCTCCCTCGCATCTGGATCATCCTCGTGGGCCGGAGGAGGAGGAGGACAGCCAACATCTGGTGGACGTGTTCTACAAAGTGAGAGGCACAAACAGGCGGCCTGTTGGGCAATGAAAATGTGTTTTCTTATGTTTGAAAGTAGGAGTGAATGGGAGGAGGAATTCACTGGGCGATGAAAATTTCTATTTTTGTTTTGCAGTCCGTCGAATCGCATTCCTGCTTCAGATCCATGGTGTAAACTCCAAGACAGTTTGTTTTGTGGAAAAAGCCTGAGGAAGGCCAGATGATGCATTTGCCTTATTGTTTACTCTCTATCGCTAATCCCACTATGTATAAATCTCACGTTGGAGATTTCGTGCAGCGAGGAGCTCGGCTATTAAAAGCAGAGAGGACGATGGCGCTGCTGCAGTTGTTCGCTTGGCCTTTAAAGACCTGGTGGCTGAATCAAAAAAGGCCTCATCTGTCACTTGTTACCTAATTTATGCTGAATTATTTTAAAGGTTCCCTTTGTTTGAAGACAAAGTAACTCCTTGCATGTGTATTTTATGAGGCAGGTGCATTAAACAGACTCCTGCACAGTGTCTGACTCGCAAGAAAATATTTATTTGCAAAGTTTTCGTGCTAGACCTTCAACAGGCGAATGCTTCGGTGTCCTAAATAGGTAGATGCTGCAACTCCACCACCAGTGACTCTCACGTATCAAAGAGAAGCATGAATTACAAAACGTTCCACCGAATGACAATTTCCAAGAACATGAAGAAGATAAGAATCATACATCCATCCCAAAAAACATTACACTGCTTGGGCAAAATCCTACAGTTTAAATAAACAAATCCCATCAAAAACAATGAAAATCTGGCAGCACAGGGCCAAAATAAAACATATTCCCATGTTATAGTGATGACTGTTTACATGCCCCCCTCTACCAACCCGACCTCGGCGTGTGACATCATCCACTCCGCCATAACCCGGTTACAGACTCAACACCCAAGTGCAACACCAGGAAAGGATGCATACAGCTCCGCTCCCCTCTCCTGCTGTGTAGGTCAGACCACAACCTGGTACACCTCAGCCCCTGTTGTGTGCTTCTGGTGAAGCGCCAGCCTAATATACTTATGCAGAATGTATATTTATTGAAAATTTAGTGGCAAACTGGGCCAAGCCACAGGAATTGCTGACCATTGTATTGCAGGTGCAGGTAGTTGCACATGTTTGCGATTCAAGATGGCGGACGGTGCACCCTCAAGCCCCATGAAAACTCAACTTGTTGGTACGGTAAGATAAAAAATAAGAACTTAGGTAACCACCACCAAACATCTATTTCTACCCCAAAGTCTTCAAAAGTATCTCTAGTTCCTTATGCTGTAAACGCTTCAATGTTGTTTAGCAAAACAAACCTGGAATCTGTTTTTTTTTTTTCTCAAATAGTAGAAAATGGGGTATGGCCCACTTCAGCACTCAGCAAAAAGGAAAGGCAAAATTAAAACTTAAACAGGCCATGACAAAGTAGCTGTTTCTATCTCTGGACAGTGCTGAAACATCTTTGGATGCATATAATGACTCCTTCAACAACCATGATTTTTTTTTTTTTTTAACAACTCAAAATTTTGATCCCATTTTTCTCTAAAACTAGTCAAAGTGGTTTGGCCCACTTTGGCACCGACCCCCTCAGTTGGTCTTGTGGCCCAGTGCCGGTGTCCCAGCCTTTCTTTGTGATCTCTACTGCTTCCTGTCTGTATTTTTGACCACTGAGTTTGGCTGTGCATGTTGGAAACCTCTGCCCGATGATTGTTCTTCTTTGTACAAAAGAAT